CTGGTTCCACTCCAGCCTCTCCCAGGCCATTAAGGTGTGATGACAGCAATCTTCCCTCCACACACCGATCAGCTCATCTCTGTGCCTTTTGCTACTATAAGTCGGGAAAATAAAAGACGACCTGTGTGCTCCCTTCCCAGCCCACCCTGCCCACAGGGCTCCCCTTTTAAAGGCAACCTCACTGCCAAGTAACATTGTTCATATAATGGATTTGGGCAATTTTCTCAATTAGGAGTTTTTATTATATTATAGCAGCAGCTGCTTGTTCTGGACAGCTTTTGGCTGCATTTCCCAAGCTGCCTTGAAGACAGACACACAGCTCTGCCCTGTTGATCCAAACAGGTCATGGCCAGAGCAATTCCCACCAGAACAAGAACACCGTTACAAGAGAGAACACAGGATAATTGCTGCCAGGGCTGTGCAGGTGGGGCACAAGTGCCTCAGCCTCAGAGCATCGTGTCCTCCCCCTGAAGAGGGGGCTGAGCTCTCATGAACACACAAACCCCACGTCAGAGCATGGCACATCACCCCAAGGGCTGCTCTCTGGGACCCCTGGCCCCCTAGACCTCTGGGTTAGCAACATGACCCACAGCATCATGGCATGACTTGCAGCATCGTGGCAATTGCACCTGTGGAATATGTTTTCCGAAGAGGAGGCAGGGAGGGTAGGGGAGCTGGTGAGAGCAGGCTGATGCAGGAGTACTAGAGCACAGTCCAGGTTAACTCTAGGATTTTTGCACTTTCCCATTTTTATTGCGATAAAGATAGAAAAGTAACATTTCTGGGTGCACAGTAGGAATGGAGGGGGTTAAGGAGAGGAGACAAGGGATGATATTGAAAGCTAAGACAGTTTGTGTCCCCTTGCAAGGACTGGCCCCACTCAAGGATCATCCCAGCACAGGGCATCCCCAGCATCACCATCACACCAGCTCCATCCTCAGAGCTGCAAAATCTTCTCTGAGCTGCAGCTTTTCTACGCCGCTCTGTCATTATCCTCATTGCCTACATCTTCCTCAGAGAGCTCTTCCTCCTGGGCTTCAGACTTGGCATCATCTTCCACTGGGGAGAGGAGACACAGAGCTGCAGTGGGAGGGTGTAGCCCTGACCCACCGAGGGGAAGGGAAACACGCCCAAGGGGAGAGAAACCCCCTCGACTGCAAACACAGCTGGGAGAGCTCTGGAATGTGACCAAGCATTAATTCCCCCGCAGAGTGGCAATCCCCACAGACCCAGGGTACCACAGCCCTGCCCAGGGCACCAGAGGCCACCGGGGAACCCAGGAGCAGCCCCAGCCATGGCAGTGAAGCTCGGTGGCACTCACAGGTGACGTGTTGCCCACTGAGATAGACCGGTCCAGCTCCACACTTGAGCACAAAAGTGACGGGAGGAACTAGCTCCAGACCTTTGAGGCTGATCTGCAAAGAGTCAGAGCTCAGAGATCCCCCAGCCCTGGATGAAATCATTGCCCCCACAGCCGGTAGCTGCATGTCTGCCTGCCCTTACCATCGGGAGCACTGAGGTCCGCAGCGCTGCGATGGGCACCGGTTTGTGGTCCCTGTATGTGTTTTTTGAATCAACGGCCACCACATGCAGCTCATCCCTGGCCTCAGCCCCCAGGCAGATCTGCAGAGCCCAGCAGAGACCCCCTGTCAGGGCACCCAGCTGGGCCACAGGCTTGCTCCAACAGGCAAACCTTAAATCTCACCGTTGTCAGCAGGACCAGGTGCTCCAAGAAGTCATCATCCTCTGTCACCACACAG